AAATGCTCTAGATGATATATATAATGAGTTAAATATATATATATATATATATATATCGAGGGGAAAAAGACAAAAAAAACTGTGGTAAATTTTTAATAATTGACAAATAGAAAACCTTTAGTAGTATAAAATACGGATATATTCTGACAATTATCTTCCCTATGCGCTCTATGCACGTGTTGTTTTCCTGTAATGGACCGTAGGTCTTGATTGGAGTATGCATGGACTTTCCTTCATCATCCTGTTTCTCTCTCTCGTTTTCTTTAATCTAAGGTACTTTAAGTGGTGGACATGCCGCCCTGCACGCGGTCTATCCCCTCTGGCAGGTCCGAGTTGGGGCCTTTTTCATCCCGACAAGGCCATTAAAGGGGAATTGAGGGCGAGGGCAGGGGCCTCGCGAAGTCTGCGGTGGACGCACAACCGCAACGATCCCCCGCGAGGCCGAAAGACCCCCTCCCCAGAAGGAAATCCCGCACAAAAGTCAGGGGAACGGCCCACCGTTCAATTTGACGGTATCGCCGTATAAAAAGGGCTGCCATTCACGACGTCTCGCTTTTCTTATCGTTTTACACTACAATGAGAGGTTTGGCGCGCTAAGAAAGGAGCCGGATAATTATATTTTTTATTGGAGACGTGTTTTATTCAAGATCCCTATTCTTATTCTTTACAAACTATTGCTTTGAGGTTCTTTAATTCTTCTCTTTGATTTTTCCTTTCGAACCCGTTTGACTCGTTTTGGTTTTCTATATTTCTATTGGTTAATCATATTCCCTGGTAGTTCGAATAGGTGTGACTATCTTCTTGTGGCCTTCAGAAAGGACTATTCGTTGAGCATATCCTACTCAACTTTCTAATCCTAATAGTTATGTATAGTACACTTCATTTCCACACCACCGATAATTCATAAACTGGTTTCTATTTCACTAATCTGATCGTCAGGGTCTATACCCAAAAATCCTTTCTTCATCACCGCCATATCCGCTTAGGATTCATATCCCAATGGTGCCATGTCTTGTCTTTTCAACCCATCGTTACTGTTTTTTTTTTTGATGTCCACCCCACCCCTTTTTTTTTACTTTCCCAAAGTCCAATTGGATTAGTTTTCACGCGCCGACCCTGATTTGTCAAACCAACTTCGCATAGCGACGCTTGAGAGATGGCCACGAGGGACCGGACGAATGAATTTGTGAAGTACCGCACGAGCCGGCCGCGTCGGCCCGAGGCCGAAGAACTGTTAGCCGAGGAGAAGCGCGTGCACGCGGTCTACACAGTCCCGCTGTGGGTGGAGAAGATGAACCTCGTGCGGACCGTCGGGAAGCACATCGAAGAGCAGGTCGGGGTTCTCGCCGGGCTGCACAAGGGCCATCTTCGGGTGGAATTCAGCTCCGCCCGCGATGAGGCGCAGGAAGAAGCCCAGATTGAGCAAGCCCAGGACCGCATTGACCGGCTTTTCAAGGAAAGCGAGCGCCAGATCCACGAGGTCGAGGCCGCCTACCTGCGCGACCTCCCCGACCACGGCACCGACGCCGAGCTTCGCATCCTGCGAAACGTCAAGATGAGCCTGGTGAACGAGATCGCCGATATCAGCGCGGCCTACCGGGAGACCCAGCGGCAATATATGATGGATGTAAAGAAGCAGCAGGCCGTCTCCCAGCGCTGGGCCGGCGGGGATCGCCAGAAATCGATCGAGCAGCAGCTCGAGAACGACGCCTTGATGGACCAATATCTCCAAAAAGGCTTGTCCCAGGCCCAAATCGAGACGGTGATGCTCAATCAGCAAATGGCCCAGGAGCGCGTGAAGGAGTTCGAGCGCATCTACAGCTCGATTAAATCCATGCATGAGATCTTTAAGGATTTGGGCGTGTTGGTCATCGAGCAGGGGACGATCCTGGATCGGATTGATTACAACATGAACCTCACCCACACCCGCGTCCAGCGCGCGCGAACCGAGTTGGAGAAGGCCGCGGCGTACCAGAGCGCCGGGGGGTTCAAGATTTGTGTACTTTTAATGCTTGTTCTGATTGCGGGGTTAACCATCGCTCTGTTTTTCAAAGCGGTGCTTTGAATCGGCCGTGGCGAATTCGCCAATTATCAGAAACGCCGTCGGGGCTGTCGAATCGCGTTCGGTGATGAGCGCATCATCCTCTCTGTATTTGCCGTCGATCCTGGCCGTTGAGGGGGTTATGGTGACCGGTTGATTCCTTGATGGGGGTTTGTTTTGGATAGTTTACCGATTACCGGGTAAAAAAAAATATATATTGCTAAGGCTTTAGTACCTGTATGTTGCGTTCTTACTATTTTATTTTTGTACTATTCCACCCTTGCGTGACGACGATTACTGTGAGGAATGGGATGACGGTTGGATTCGTTCCCTTTTCGACTGGTGGTGTACTCTTTGTCCGCGTTCCCACGCGCACCCCAATGACTTGATGTCCTCTGGTCCATTTTTTTTTTTCATTTCCCTTGGAAATTGGGCCCCCTCTTTGACGCGCGCCTGCGCCTGAACGAGCGTCTGATCGGGATCCATTCCTCATAATCCTCCTCACAAACAGAAAAAAAAAAAGAAGAAGAAGCATTAGACAACGCCCAAACACTAGAAAAGGCCTGGAATGCAATTCGCGCCGCTCTATCGGTCGATCCTCAAAACCCTAAAGCGGGCCTGTGCGCAGAAGCCGCACTACGTGCAGGATATTCGCTTCCTCCTCTCCCGCCCGCTCGTGACGGTGTACTCCTTCGCCGGGGCCGAGGCGGCGGGGCCCTTGGGGGTTTCCGCCGCCTTCTCAACGCCCCCCCAGGGCGACTCGCCGGAGGGCGGGGGGTTAATCCCGCCCTCGGAGCGCTGGGAGCTCGACCCCGGGATGCTCTACGATGTCTGTCGGGCGGACCTGCGCGCGGCCTTTGCGCGGGCCACGGCCGAGGCGGTGGAATTCCCGCCCGCAGCGGACCCGGAAGGCCCCCCGCCCGGTTTGTCCGCCGAGGCCGCGAGGGCGTATCTTCGGCAATCCCAAAACCCCCCGGGGGATGTCGCGGCGGCCCCGACGAGGCTGAACCCCGTCGCGGTGAAA